GGACAAAATCTGATTTAATTGTCAACTAATGGCTGAAGACATAAAACTGGATCCGAAGACTGAAGCGGTGTTTAGACGAAAAAAATATAGGATAACCAAAGAGTTAAGTCACGGATCGTTTGGTCAGGTTTATAAAGCGATACACACAGAGACTGATGAGACGGTTGCCGTCAAAGTCATGGATTTGGAAAGTTTGGCGAAGACTCACGGAGAAGAGTTTAAAGAAAAATTTCTTCCCCGAGAAATGGCGGCAATGATTGAAGCGAAACACAAACACATCGTCGAAGTGTACGATATATTCAAAGCCAACCGAAAGATGTATATATTCATGGAGTTCGCCGGCAATGGAGACCTTTTGAAATACGTGAAGAAACACCATATGATTAACGAGAAGTTAACCGCTAATTGGAAGCGAGTCCACAGGCTTCGAGAGTCAATAAACGTATTGTCAGACAAATATCGGGTAGCTCTGTAGTTTGAGCTTTTGTATGAAGACTTGCTAGTTTTGCTCCGCAAACTGAGTGACTTCGGGTTCGCAAAACAGTCCTACGATGAAGAGACCCAAACCGTTGAACTGAGCAAAACCTTCTGCGGCACTAAACCCTATCACTGCCCACAGATTGTCAAGAAAGTGAAGTACGACCCCTACAAAGCCGATGCCTGGGCTATGGGTGTTTTGATCTTTGGTGAGATTTGTTTAATTGCTTTTCACTGAATTTGATTCAATGTTATTATTCTTTTAATTGTTATGTGGTTTGAAGGGATGCTTAACGACAGACTTCCGTACCATACGAATGACAAAAACCAATTTCTTAACGAACAGAAAGATCCAAAATATTTGGAAACGAGATATAAGAAGAAATTTTGCGAACACATTAAACAATTGATCGCTGGTTTGCTAACAGTTGATGAGTCCAAGAGGTTTGAGATCAACGATATCCTCGCGAGTGATTGGATTAAAAAGAAGGGCAATTGCTGTCAATAGTTTACCTGTCTTTCAAATACTGTATATTTAATTCACTTAATTTTAGGGGAAAACTCTTTATTAGAATAAGAGAAATATAAAAATTAATAAAATTATTTAAATAAACTTATAAACATTACTACAGTAATAAACTTATTAGAAATAAACATTTTTCAAAATTTTTATCTGTTATTCAATATAAATTCAAAGAACAATTTTAATTAGATTTTAAACAATATTTAATTCACAATTTAGTAACAATTAATACAATGTTGTTTCACGAGTTTGGGTAATAGCATACTATATTTATCGCACCATTTAAATAATTATTTAAACTTCAAAACCGCTTATTGTATGAAAAATCAAATCTTACTGTTAATTGAAATAATCGGACAAAATCTGATTTAATTGTCAACTAATGGCTGAAGACATAAAACTGGATCCGAGGACTGAAGCGGTGTTTAGACGAAAAAAATATAAGATAACCAAAGAGTTAAGTCACGGAGCGTTTGGTCAGGTTTATAAAGCGAAACACACAGAGACTGATGAGACGGTTGCCGTCAAAGTCATGGATATGGAAAAACTTAGCGAGTCAATTAAATATATCTGACCAAAGAGTACGACACCCATAGCCCAGGCATCGGCTTTGTAGGGGTCGTACTTCCCCTTCTGGTTAATCTGAGGACATTGATAGAGTGGAGTCCCGCATATGGTGTTGTTTAACTCAATTTGTCCCGTCTTCTCGTCATAGGCCTGTTTCGCGAACCCGAAGTCACTCAGTTTGGCCTCGTTTTGATCGTTCAGTAGTATGTTATCGAGTTTGATGTCTCGGTGGGCTATATATACCTTGTTATGCAGAAAACTGAGCGCTTCCGATACCTGTTTAAACCAAAGACAAGCCTTCTTCTCGTCAAACTTCCCCTTTTTTGATAATAATTTCATGAGGTCTCCATTGCCGGCGAACTCCATGAATATATAAATCCTTTTGCTGCTACGGATTATATCGTATACTCTAATCATATGTTTGTGTTTCGCTTTAATCATTGCCGCCATTTCTCGGGGAAGAAATTTTTCTCTTAAGTCTTTGTTGTCTTTCATTTTCTCTAAATCCAAGACTTTGACGGCAACCGTCTCTTTGGTGTCCGTGTGTTCCGCTTTATATACATAACCATAATTTCCGTGATTTAATTCTTGCATTATTCTGTAATTTTTTCGTCTAAACACAGCCTCTGTCTTGGGATCTAGTTTTAATTCTTTAGCCATTTCTTCACAATTAAACCAATTTTATATCCAATGAAATCAATGGTTAGTTAGGCTTTAGTTTTCATACAATACATTCAAATAACAGACAAATAATTATTTAAAATATGGTATGAATGCGCAGAACAACAATAATTGCTACTAAATTATAAAATAAATCAATTGTTAAAAAGTGTGATTAATTACTATTTTACTTATTTATAAGTTTATTACTGTTTATAGTCTATAATAGTATATTTGTAAATACAAGTGATATATTTATTGTTAATTCCAATACTGTAGTAATGTTTATAAGTTTATTTAAATAATTTTATTAATTTTTAAATTTCTCTTATTTTAATGAAGAGTTTTCCCCTAAAATTAAGTGAATTAAATATACATTATTTGAAAGACAGGTAAACTATTGACAGCAATTGCCCTTCTTTTTAATCCAATCACTTTTGAGGATATCGTTGATCTCAAACCTCTTGGACTCATCAACGGTTAGCAAACCAGCGATCAATTGTTTAATGTGTTCGCAAAACTCTTTCTTATATCTCGTTCCCAAATATTTTGGATCTTTCTGTTCGTTAAAAAATTGGTTTTTGTCGTTCGTATGAAACGGAAGTCTGTCGTTAAGCATCCCTTCAAACGATATAACAATTAAAACAATGATAACATAGAATCAAATTCAGTGAAAATCAATTAAACAAATCTCACCAAAGATCAAAACACCCATAGCCCAGGCATCGGCTTTGTAGGGGTCGTACTTCACTCTCTTGATAATCTGTGGGCATTGATATGGTTTAGAGCCGCAGAAGGTTTTGCTCAGTTCAATGGTTTCCGTCTCTTCATCGTAGGCCTTGACGGCGAACCCGAAGTCACTGAGTTTGGCCTCGTTTTGATCGTTCAGTAGTATGTTTTCGAGTTTGATGTCTCGATGAGCTATAAACAGACTGTTATGCAAATAACTGAGAGCTTCGGACACCTGAGCGATCCAATTAGCGGTTAACTTCTCGTCAAGCATTTGGTGTTTTTTCATGTATTTCATAAGGTCTCCATTGCCGGCGAAGCTATAAACAGACTGTTATGCAAATAACTGAGAGCTTCGGACACCTGAGCGATCCAATTAGCGGTTAACTTCTCGTCAAGCATTTGGTGTTTTTTCATGTATTTCATAAGGTCTCCATTGCCGGCGAACTCCATGAATATATACATCCTTTTGTTGGCATGGATTATATCGTACACATCGACGATGTGTTTGTGTTTCGCTTTACTCGCAAACGCCATTTCTCGGGGAAGAAATTTTTCTTTAAACTCTTGCGATTCAAAAAGGTATAGGTACTGAAACTGCCGTTGGCAGAGTAGTCAGAGACACACAAAGCGAAATATTTGGACTGGTTTGCGAGGCACTGAATTGAGAAACCAATAGAATATAAAAAAAGCAGAGAACACCGCTTCAGTCCTCGGATCCAGTTTTATGTCTTCAGCCATTAGTTAACAATTAAATCAGATTTTGTCCAAATATTTCAATTAATAGTCAGATTTGATTTTTCATACAATAAGCGGTTATGAAGTTTAAATAATGATTTAAATTGTGCGATAAATATAGTATGTTATTAGTAATAACTTATTACCCAAACGCGTGAAACAACATTGTATTAATTGTTACTAAATTGTGAATTAAATATTGTTTAAAATCTAATCAAAATTGTTCATTGAATTTATATTGAATAACAGATGAAGATTTTGAAAGCTATTTATTTCTGATAAGTTTATTACTGTTTTACAGTATATTACGTATACTTATGGCTATAATTGAAGCGATGCGTGAAATATGAGACTTCATTGTCTGGATTACCAAATTTTAGACTTTTATCTATTCAAAAGTTATATCTATTCACAAATCTTTGGAAACAATTGTTGAAAAGTGTGATTAATTACTATTTTACTTATTTATAAGTTTATTACTGTTCATAGTCTATAATACAGTAGTATATTTGTAAATACAAGTGATATAAAGTGTACAACTTTACAACATGTATTTATTGTTAATTCCAATACTGTAGTAATGTTTATAAGTTTATTTAAATAATTTTATTAAATTTTATTCTCTTATTTTAATAAAGAGTTTTCCCCTAAAATTAAGTGAATTAAATATACAGTATTTGAAAGACAGGTAAACTATTGACAGCAATTGCCCTTCTTTTTAATCCAATCACTTTTGAGGATATCGTTGATCTCAAACCTCTTGGACTCATCGACTGTCAGCAAACCAGCGATCAATTGTTTGATGTGTTCGCAAAATTTCTTCAATATAGAGCAAAGGTTTATAAAACCTAGAAAGACAAGCAATTCTTTAACCAAAAACAGCAAGCATACTTTGCCTTCAGACAGCAATTCGTAGGGAAGTTTGGTATATTGTTAATTTTGTTACTATTCATTGATAATATAAATTCAGTGAAAAGCAATTAAACAAATCTCACCAAAGATCAAAACACCCATAGCCCAGGCATCGGCTTTGTAGGGGTCGTACTTCACTTTCTTGACAATCTGTGGGCAGTGATAGGGTTTAGTGCCGCAGAAGGTTTTGCTCAGTTCAACGGTTTGGGTCTCTTCATCGTAGGCTTTGACGGCGAACCCGAAGTCACTGAGTTTGGCCTCGTTTTGATCGTTCAGAAGTATGTTTTCGAGTTTGATGTCTCGATGGGCTATAAACAGACTGTTATGCAAATAACTGAGAGCTTCGGACACCTGAGCGA